TGGGTTGGTCCTATGCTGATTTCCCAGCTAGCAGACTAGGGTCCATGAGCTCCCCCTTGTTCAGGTCAGCTGCTTCTGTGGATTTATCCAGACTAGTCTTGACCCCTTTGCTCATCACTCCTCCCTCTCTGCAAATGGATTCCAGGAGTTCGGCTCAGTGCACAAACACATCACCATTAAGGCACACCTATCCTTTCTTATTCATCCTCAAGATCTCAAATTAAAATATAAATAACTTTAAAAGCCTCACAGTCTTTATTATAACTTCAAACATATTAAAATTTCAGTCTCTTTAAAATATCCAATCTCTCTAAAAATCCACAATCTCTTTTAAAAGCTCAAAGTCTTTCAACTGTGGGCTCCTGCAAAGTTAAAATTAAATACCTTCTTCAGGAGGGAAGAACCAGGGCACAGTTGAAAGGATGAAAATACAGCTTAATTCTCTAAATGACCATTAAATTTAGAAATTTAGAAAAAGTCCATCGGCATGTATTTAAAAATCACTCTAGTTGCATGCAAAGCTCAAGAAAAACACATGAAATAGCTTGATCACGATGACTGGTTTCTGGATATTATTATTATTATTCATAATCACCTAGTTTCTGAAGAATGTTGTTATTCACAACAACAGTCTGGGAACTGTTGTGGGTCATCCTGTTCACAAGGAAAATTAATAACTAAAAGATGGGACTCATAGCAAAAAGGGAAAGACAGAGAAAACAAGAGCCTCTGCCAATAGATATAGATAACTCCCTGACTGGAAAGTACATTCTCCCAGCTGCTCAAGGACAAGGCAACTTGTCTTGAGGAAGGAAAAAAAAAAAAAAAAAAAAAAAACCCTAACCCTAACCTTGCAGGTATGCTAAATTGCTGTAACGTGGGAAACTTTACTAACCATTCCAAGTTTTGAACTATCCCACGACCTTGCTTTTAGGCCTAGTGAAAATAACAGGCTGGCTTTGAAACTGGCCTTGTTAGCTTTGATGTAAATCCTATAAAAGCTATCTCTGTTCTGCCCTCGAGGTCCTCAGTCCTCTACCCCTGTGTGGTGTATGACTGTGGACCCCAGTGCACTTGGAATAAAAACTCCTCGTGCTATTTGCATCAAGACCACTTATGGTGAGTGATTTGGGATGTCGCCTTTCCTGAGTGGGAGCATGAAGGTCCATGCTCTGCAGGTCTTACACAGTCACCATATGAGCCAAGCAAAACCAAATTCCAATAGTATAAACAACACAATGTCCAGTTATCTGGGATTCACTTCTGATCTCCTCCAAGAAGCTTGGGTCACTTCTCCAGTTCCGCCCTCTACAGCACACACACCTTGTCTTCTGCTCTCCAGCTGGCTCCATCCCACTGCCACTTCTGTTCTCAATGGCCATTGCATGATACTGGCTTCTGGTGCTGCACTTTCACCAATAGCCTTCCATAGGCTTTCTTTATGTAGTGCCTCTTTATGTAGTGCCAAGCCACAACTTCTTTCCATGACCCCTTATGTCATAGGCCCTCAGCTGCCACTGTGGCTGTACCTTCACCAATGGCCTTCCCTGACCTGCTACAGAGGCAAGTCTCATCTGCTCCCCATGACCCCTTCATGCCTTCAAAACCAATACCACCTGGGTGACTCTTATATAAAGTCTGGCTGCCAGTGAAAGCTACAACCTTGGCCACCTGTGTGTGCTGACTCTCAGGAAACACTTTAGGGAAGTTTTCACCTCAGTGACGACGCTGGTCTCTTCTTAATCACCGCTAATTTCTTAGCTCCAGCCAACCAGCATCAATCATCTCAGTAATGCAAAGGTTTTCAGTCAGTGCTGCCAGTCTCTTCTTAATCACTGCTGACTCTTCAGCCCCAGCCGCCGACCAGAATGACAGACTCTTAATTCTTGATTCAATGTAGCAAATGGCCTCGATAGAGTCTTCAAATTTCCCTCTGAAATTTCGCAAGCCAGGCCTCCATCTCCTACACTGCTCTCAACACTCTTGTCCTCCCCTCCAGTTTTTAGAGACAGGGTTTCTCCGATTAACAGCTCTGGCTGTCCTGGCACTAGCTCTGTACCCCAGGCTGGCCTCAAACTCACAGTGACCTGCCTGCCTCTGCCTCCTGAGTGCTGGGATTAAAGGCGTGTGCCACCACCACCTGACTTAGTGGGATTCTTTTGGTAGCAGTTTAGAAGATAAGAATGTTACCAAGTGATGGTGGCACACACCTTTAATCCCAGCACTCAGGAGGCAGAGGCAGGTGCATGTCTGTGAGTTCAAGGCCAGCCTGGTCTATAAGAGCTAGGACAGCTAGGTCTACACAGAGAAAACCTGTCTTTAAAAAAAAAAATCAAATCCCATTAAGCTCTTAAGATTTAATGGCTTTTCTAGCCCAAAGTTCCAAAGTCCTCCCCAAAACATGATCAGATCTATTAGAGCAATACCCACTACACTGGTACCAACTTGTTTTAGTTAGGGTTTCTATTGCTTCATTGAAACACTATGACCAAAAAAGCAAGTTGAGAGAAAGGGTTTATTTGGCTTACATTTCCATCTCACTATTCATCATTGAAGAAGGTCAGGGCAGGAACTGATGCAGAATTCCTAGAGTAGTGCTGCTTACTGGCTTGCTCTTCATGGCTTGCTCAACCCACTGTCTTATAGAATCCAGGACCACCAGCCCAGGGATGGCACCACTCACAATAGAATGGGGCCTCTCTCTTCAATCAGTAATTTTAAAAATGCCCTACAGCTGGAACTTGTGGGTCCATTTTCTCAAGTGAGGTTTCCCTCCAGTTAACTCTAGCTTGTGTTAATTCTTAGTCCTCAGTTGATGGCTATTTGGGGAGGAGGGAGGTGTGGCTTTGCTGGAGGAAGTATGTAAGTAGAGATTTTTGTCAGACTGCCACTTCACAATAAAGACACAGAGACCTAATATTAATTATAAATGCTCAGTCCATAGCTTATGCTTGTCTCCAGCCAGCTCTTACAACTTAAATAAACATCTCTACTGATCTATCGCTGTCCTGAGGCTCATTTACCTCATCTATGAATTTCCCATATTGCTTCTTCTGACTCTGCCCTTCTTCTTCCCAGCATTCTCTCTGCTCTGAAAATCCTGCCTAGCTACCAGTCAATCAGATTTTTATTAACAATGAGAGCAATACATTTTCACAGTGTACAGAAGGATTATTCCACAGCAGAAGTATGAAACTCGAGACGGGGGGGGGGGGTGAGGTTTCAAAAGATTTGTACCATTTGGAGTTAGCTTTCTGTTTCCTGTTTGTGGGACAAAATGTGAGCTCTCAGCCACTGCTAGGGCACTGCCGTGATAGTGGCGATGGAATACCTCTGGAACATTTCTTTGTTGCTCTTACATACATGTGTTCCAGCAGACCACATGGGATTGGGCAAAGCCATTAGAGAGCTCATCTCTGTTGGGAACCAGCATTCCCTCTCTCAGTAGTCACTGACTGATGCTGCTCTTTGTTTGCCAATGTTTCTCAACCTTTGGGCTGAGTATCAGATATTTATATTACAATTCATAACAGTAACAAAGTTAAAGTTATTAAGTAGTAACAAACAAATTTTCTGGTTAGAGGGGGTCACCATAACATGAGGAACTGTATTAAAGGGTCACAGCATTAGAGAGGTTGAGGACCAGTGGAAGCCTTTGTCTTTTATCCTACTATTCCCACCAACTCTCCAAAATTGTTCCTGCCAAGTCCTCAATCGTAACTCACTGGAGAAACAAAATAACTGTTCGAAAACATTCATTTCCTGCCTAATTTGAGTAACTAGTCAGCTCCTAACACTATTAGGTAACAATCTAACAGCTGTTTTGAGTTTGAATGGGACGTAAGTAAATGTATATATTATGTATTAGAGCACGTTTCCTGTCCTAAAATTAATTACCTCCCCAGCAATAGAACTCGGTGGTGGGATTACTGGTGTTTGAAAATGAAAAGACAGCGTGGTAAACAGAAGCTGAGAGGATGATGTCCTGCATGTAAATCAGACATCCGCTGTTTCAGTAATGGCCACGGCAATGGATAACAGGCTGCTAGTCCTTTAACCAAATCCCGCAGAAGGAAACTACTGCAGCAGCCGTCTCACGAAGACTCCGTCTTCCTCCACTACTCTCTCAAGGTAGTTGTACTTAACTACCTATGCAAAAAAAAGTTTAACAATACCATCAATCTTCCAAATAAGGACCAATTCCCAACTAGAACCTTGGGGCCGGGTCTTTGGCGTTTTAGGTTTATAACTAAACTTGAATCACCCCGGCTTCCGTAGGGGCGGTTTCTAGGCAACAGGCCTTTCCGTTTTAGCCGAGAAAGGGGGGGGGGGAGGCCAGAGGCGACTATTCGAATCCCCGGAGTATATTTTCTGAAGATCAAAACAAATATATTCAGGCACGCTTCAGGCATTTTTTTTCCTGTAAAGATACTGTCAAAGAATATGTGGAACTCACTCTCTTTTTACATTTCTTAAGCCTGCACCCCGCGCACGCTGTGCTCTCGGCTTCGCCGGAACCTTTCCAGTCAGGCAGCTCCTAGCCGCCCCGAGGAGGTCCTCATTTTGAAAACAGGAGCGGGCCAATCAGGTGCGGAGCGCTGTTTGGCGCTGGCGTTTGAGCCCGGCTGGGACTGAAGGTGCGGCCGCGGCGGCTCTGATGTGTGCGGGCGGCGGCATGAGCCGGGCCGCTAAGCTGTCGCAGGCGGGGGCCGCACGCGGGCTGATGGGCCAGGGCAGACGCAGCGTGTGACACGGGGTGACGGGGGACCAGCCCGGGCGGGCACCGGGACTGGGGCATCCCTGAGCAGCCGGCTGGCCCGGCTGGAGGGACGAGGTTAAGGCTGCGGTTCCATCTCAGAGGGCCGAGCCGGAGGTCAAGGCTGCCCTGCGTGGAAGAGGATCGGGGGAGTGGGCCGGAAGCGGGAGAAACGAGCGACAGGCGTTGGTCAAAGGGAAGAGGGGGGCTCGCGACAGTAGCTGACAAGGCCGAGTGGCGCAGAAAGAAGGTCGGTGGAAGTGAAAGAGGAGGAGGCAAGTGTGGCCGGAGAGAAGGAAGTCTGTGTACGTGGGTAGAGAGAGGATCGGAGGGAAGCCGTGGAGGTGGCCGGGGCCTGGGGCCGGAAGAGTGCCAGGCGTGGCCGAAAGGTGTTTGGGAATTGGAAGACTTGGTGGCAGACGGAAGTCAGGACCCGGAGTCGGCCTCGAAGAGTGGGAGACGCGGTCGGGATGTGGGATCAGAGGGTAGTCAGATTGGCCCTGCTGCAGCAGCTTCGTGCTGTGTACGGCATTAAGGTCAAGGGTGGCCGCGGGCAGTGTGATCGCAGGAGACATGAAACTGCAGCTGCGGAAACGAAGGTAAGTTAAAACGTGTCAGGAGAGGGGCACACCCGGCTTACTCTGGATGACAAAGACACGAGGTCATAAGTGTCAAATCTAGTCTGTGTGGTCGTTTGTCTATGTTTAAAAGGATTCTCCCCCCCCCCAGCAACTTTCAGCACTGGAAATTGCATTATTTCTCGATGTAGCACCATTTTGGATCAGAACACTGCTAGAGATGCCAGTAGTATCTCTACGTTGAGACAATCTCCTTACAATGCCGACTTATTTTGTGATGCTGGGAATAGGATCCTGGGCCTCCAATTTAAACGCTGTACGACTGACCTAATATTCTACTGTGTTTTAAACAGGCAGAGTGTGTGTGTGTGGAGGGGGGGAGCAAACTACCTCCTGCCAGTCTGGGTTGGGCAGTCAGTGCATTGCAAAATGTATCAGTAGATGAGAAATTCAGCTTAAGCTTTAGAAATAGGCCTCATATGACCTTTCTGTATTCAGCAACTTAAGAAAACAGGCCTGCTGCCTGACCATATGATACTTCCTGGTCTCTTTAGCGGTGTAAGCATTAGCTGCCAACATCAGTCCTACACTGAAACAAACCTGGGATTTGTGGGTATTTTAATAAGCACATTGAGAATAGTGAGTTGAAAGTTTGTTTAGTGACTTGTCACTGAGTTCGCATTTCTAAAGGTTCGGGATTCCTCCAATTACTTTTGTGTGTGCACAGGCCCACTCATGACAGTGGCATCCATCTAAGGGTCAGAGGACAATGTGAATGAATTAGTTCTCTCCCTCTGTTATGTTATATGGCCTTGAGGCTCAAACTCAGGTTATTAGGCTTGGCAGCAAATGCTCTACTCATCAAACTATCTCACTGCCCCCCTCCCTTTTTTATTTTTAAATTTAATGGTGCTGATTTGGGACGGGATTATATTGAGTAATCAAGACTTTCATTGGGAAGAACTGAATATAAGTTATTTTAAAAGTATGTGGGTAATTTATTAGTACTTTGTAGTACTTGAAGACAAAATCTAATAAAATTAATTTGCGTAATTGTGTTGTTTGAGGAGGAGTATAATATAGCCCAGACTGAACTTGAACATACTAGCTAAGGCTGCCTTGAGCTGATCCTGTTACCTCTACCTCCCTAGTGCTGGAACTAAAGAGATATGTCACCATACCCATTTAACGTGTTTCTTTATGGCTAAAAATTACTGTGGTTACTTGGGTTGGGAAAACTGTCTTCCCACAACCTTTAGTATAGGTATTTGCTTTTTATCTTTCATATCTTACCTAACAAATCCTGACACGTTTAGAGACAGGCCCAAGTTTTACAGTTAACTATGAATGTGGACTGTTTGTGTAGTTCTCAGTGAGTTCAGTTCCTTATGCTGTAAAGTGGTAATTCCTGGTAAATTCTCTAAGTAGGTCTAGCACAGTACCTGTCACTTGCCATCTACTCAACTATGACAATTACCCATGTTCTAATTAACGGTTTTGTGGTATAAATTCAGTGGTGAATGCTAGTAACATTCTAATGATATACAATTTTTTCTATAATATAATGACATAAGATTCAGGTTCAGACATGAGAAACAGAATGTTATAATGATTCCATTAAAGTCGCACAGCTAAAAATTAAGAAAGCCAGGGTTTGAAAAGTGGCAGTCTTGCCAGTGGGAAGCTAATTTCTAATTGTTTTTGACTGGGTGGCCTTTTATTGCTTGGAGTATTTGTCAGAACAAGCCAAGTGTTAGAAACAGCATTGGTAAAATTTCATTGCTATGTTGAATCATTTGCCTGATGGTCTCAATCAGAAGTACTTGGAGAGCAGTTATGGAGGGCAGGTTCATCTGAACTAAATCAGCATGAGAGAAATTAGGGTACACTGACTTACTTTTGAGTATGCAGGTCTATACCGCTTGACTTTCAATCCAGTGGAAAGCCACACAGTCTTCATACTCGGTGACACGTTTTTAGGAAGCTAGTAATTATATAGGAAGAAGTAGGACGGTACTGGAAAAAACATCCAAACACAAGTGTATTTTTGGGATCCTTGGTGTTCTAAACTGAATATATATATATTCTTCAGAGTGAGTCTCAAGGTAGCTAAATGAAAATTATCTTAAATGCCTGCAGTCTTGGCCTGGTGTACTTCAGGACACAGGTGAAGAACATGCTGATGTACTATGTGGAAGAGTTGTAAGGTTAAAAATACCCACATTTGATGTGTTTTAGGAAGTATTCAAATGTGACATGAATTCAGGAGTTATTGTTTTACTTACCAACTTATTTAGTCTTTTGTGTGAATTTGTAAGACTAGAGACAAGTATAAATTAGGTCACTGAAGAAATGCTTGGCATAGGGAGGTATTAGTATTTGGACTAAATTTGGTTTAAGAATTAAGCACTCATTGTATCAGTTTCCCATAATGAAGTCAAAGACTGGCTGAATGAACAAGATTTTATCTTGATGTCTTTGTGCTCAAAACATCTACCCTCATATCTCCTACAGGAGATACTTGCTAGTAAATACACTTCAAATAATTGTCTTGTGTTGATTGATAGCTTGAAATTATTTCTAATAATGTTTTCATTCCTAAAATCCTTATTTGCCTGATGTTAAATATTTTATTTTATGTCTAATACTGTGTTGAGTAACTGAGTTTGTCATTTTAGGGTAAGGTATTTGGAGTTCCTTTTAATTTGCTGCCTCATTCAGTTGTCCCAGAATATGGACATATCCCAAGGTAAGCAGTCTTCAAAATGAAGAGAATATTTCAAACCAGTTTTAAAAATAGTTTCAAAGGTTTAAAAAAAAAATAGTTGATTGATGCATATATGTGCTTAAAACCACATTATTTTGTATCTGAACATTACCTATTGTAAAACCATGGGGCTGAAGATGAATTAGTGGCTAAAGATGCTTCCAGCATAAGCCTGGTACTGAACCCATGTATAAAGGTGAAGGGAGAGAACCCAGCTTCACAGAATTCTTCTCTGGCCCCCAACATGGTGCTGTGGCGCACTCACTCATACATACATATGTTACACTTGCTGTTAGAACAGTTTCAGAGTCTTAGATCAAGGAGTAATGGCCAAAAGGTTGTAATCTCTGGACTGCCTGTAAGTAAACAAAAACAGCTTTCATTTACCCTCTTTTAGGGCTGACATCCAGGAACCGGGTGTCAGTACAACTCTCATTGCTTGTAGCTGGCATAACTTTCACAATTCTTGATGCCAGCTGTTAAATCTAACATTAACGTTGGTTGAGATCAGTTCATAGGTTAAGTTGAACTTTCACCCCTTAACATGAAAATGATTATAAGGACAGAGAAGGATTCTACTTTTCTAAGGAAAAATGTTAGAATGAGAAAAACTTGATGTTGTTTGGGGGGAAATGTAGGATGATAGCTATGTAAAGCTGTGCATGCTATAACAGGTCACCACTCATGGAGAGCCTATGGATAGAGAAGCCTTTGGCCAGGTAGGCATGGTGGTGAATACTTGTAATCCCAACACTTAGCAGATGGAGAAGGGAAGTGGGACATCACCCTGGCTACACAGCAAGTGTGAGGCCAGTCTAGGCTACAAGAAACTTTGTCTTCAGAAAAGGCTTTGGAGCAAGCCTAGGTCATTCCATATGTAGACATTAAGTAGAGGAGGACATAAAAGGGGCTTGAGAAAAGAACAGTTTAGGGAGGTAGCAAAAAAAAAAAAAAAACAAAAAACCAAAAAAACAGAGGAATGGTGAGAAGGACATTTTGGAGCAGGGAAACAGTCAGGTGTGTCACATGTGGATAAGTTAAGCAATATGAGGAGACAATGAATTGACAATTGCTTTGGGCATTGGTGTCCTTGGTGGAAGCTGTTCCACAGGAGTAGTGAGGGTGAATGTGTTCAATCAAGGGGTAGGTTGAGATGGGGATGTGATAAACAAAGCTAGTCTTGTGTTATGAAGAGAAGCAGAAAAGAATGTAGACTTGATAGTGTCTACACATTTGTGTTGAACAGAGAAAGCCTGAAGTGTGTGAAGTCCTAATGAGTGTGTGCTATTCATGTGGGCACAGTCATATCAAGTCGGACCCCATGGAGGAAGGGAAAGGGGGATGTATGTGTGTGGGGAGGACTGAGGGCAGGTACTGACAGAAAATGTCCACCATAGCCCTACACCACCCAGAATGAAAACTGATGTTCTTCAAAAACTGTTCTATGGACAATAGCTAAACTTGCCTCCTTGATCCAGCTGTATACTGCAAATCCCACCTATTTGTTTTTCTATGTCATAACCATGCCTGCTTATTCAGCAGGCTGCAGTAACCTCACCTCCCTGTTCAAGTCTGTATGATAAACACTGAGCTTGAGGGGGCTAGTCCACCTGACCCCAGCTCTTTAGGTCTGTCTTTTCTTCATTTATTTATTTATTTATTGCCACCCTTTGTTAGTTCTTTCCCTGGAGCCTTGCTAGATGTGGCACACATTGACATTACCATGAATAAAGCTATAGACCTCAGAGGAAAAAGTTAGGAAGCAAGGAGAACAAGTGAATATTTTGTTGCAGGGATCAAGTGGAATTGGAGCTGGAAAGGCATAGTGCCTGGCCTGCTTATGTATTAGCAGTAGAATGAATGAGGTTATTGAGGTGGGTGTCTGGACCCTTGAAAGAACATGATTTCTCTTTTAGCTTTCTTGTTGATGCATGCACATCTTTGGAAGAGCATATTCATACAGAAGGGCTTTTTAGGAAGTCGGGATCTGTTACTCGTCTAAAAGCACTAAAGGTAAGCATGCAGTTTTGAACTATACTTTTTTCTACTGCCGTCTTTGATTTGATTTTTACAGTTGAAATTTTTTTCTAAAAGCCATTGTAGGTCATTTATATACTGCTTTAAAAATACAGCATGCTTTCAAATTTGTGCTCTTCATTCTTATACTAAGTGAAAAGAAAACCCAGCTTTTTTTTTTTTTTTTTTTAAGGCTTTTAGAAGGGACTAGTATTTTATACAAGGGTTAGGAGAACCCTTTTTAATTAGATATGATGACTATTACTGTATTTAATATACTGTTACGTGCCCAATATTCCTGTGTCTTTTCAGAGTAAGCTGGACCATGGTGAAGCCTGCCTGTCTTCTGCACTTCCGTGTGATGTCGCAGGTCTGCTTAAGCAGTTCTTCAGGGAGCTACCAGAACCTGTCCTCCCAGCTGATCTGCATGAAGCACTGTTCAAAGCACAACAGTTAGGGGCAGAGGAGAAGAATAAAGCTACATTGTTGCTGTCCTGTCTGGTGGCAGACCCTACAGTTGATGTGTTAAGATACTTCTTTAATTTTCTCAAGAATGTTTCTCTTAGGTAAGGGGTAATTAAAAGCCTCCAGAATGAGTTTAATTTCTTGGCTACCTAAAGTTGTTCCTAGTAGTTTATAAATTTAATTTGGAATGAAAAAAATTTTTTAATCAGTCTTTACTATAGGAAATATACGCTGTGTACTTTAAGATTAAATACTTTGTTGTCATTACAGTCTTGATGAGGGATGCCTTAAGGGTTTATTGGTATTTACAAAATTCTTTTTCCACTGGATGGATTCTGGTTTTGTTTCTTAAACAATTTGTCTTTTGTTTCTTAATTTTCCTCTTCCTACTGTCAGTGTATCTACCTGTTTTGTTTATACTTGATGCTGCCTTCTAATGCCTCATTTTCTATGTGTGACTCTAAAAAGCAGATAAACAATCTATAAAAGAACAAAGTTTGAACTAATTAATATGGTTTATATTTAAATCTATAAAACCATATATTTTGGGTTTTCATGTTCTTTTGTAGACAATGTTTAAGCCAACCCTTAGTGTTCCTTTTCTCTTTCCTTTGTCCCTTGCTTCTTGGGGCCACTTGTGTGGGTGGATAGGTGGGTGAGGGCTGTTTTACTTGTAGGTGACAGGTACAGTAAATGTGCTCAATGTGTTATTTTAACTTCCTATAGTTCTACCCTTTTCACCATTTAATAAAGCCTTTTTGTCATCAGGGCGAGTGAGAATAAAATGGATAGCAGCAATCTTGCAGTAATATTTGCACCGAATCTTCTTCAGACAAATGAAGGCCATGAGAAGATGTCTGCTAACACAGAGAAAAAGCTGCGATTGCAGGCAGCTGTAGTACAGACTCTTATTGATTGTGCATCGGATATTGGTAAGGGCTAATTGCGTTGTCAAATAGTAGGATTTATTTAAATGAGGGAGCTCCTGGCTTCCACCTGAAGACAGCCATTAGAAAGGGACTATATTATTACCTATAGTTTAGGATGAGGAAGGAATAATTGTCTTATAAACATTTTGATTTAGGGCGTGTGCCAGATTTTATCCTTGAAAAGATACCGGCCATGTTAGGTATTGATGGTCTCTGTACTACTCCATCCCTGGAAGGCTTTGAAGAAGGAGAATATGAAACTCCGGGTGAATGTAAGAGAAAAAGAAGACAAAGTGTTGGAGGTAATTGATGCTCTCATTTTACGATGGTACTGGGACTGCATTTAAAATGCAAACATCAGCATTAGTTATGTTGTGTGTCTTTTGGATGCCTAGTTGGAGAAATAAAACACAGGCATATTAGAAGTTCAAGTGATGATACAATCTGATATTATGCACTAAATCTTTAGCAAATGATTCGTGGACTGTAATCACCAAGGACTTGTCCAAGAGAAGGTCAAACTAAGCCTTATTTATTTATTTATTGTGCTGGGAATTGAAACTAGGGCCTCATATAGGCTACGCAAGTTCTAAGCTTCTGAACTACATCCTCAGCCCTCAACAAGGATCTTCTTAAAGGATGAGTAGAATACAGAGAAACTGAGTAAAAGAGCAGAAAACTTACATTCTGTTGAGAAATGTAGAATAGACTATCTTGGGAACAAATCAGCGTGCTTTGAGTGTTGTTCCTCTGTGTGCATTTAATGGTATAATGTGAAACTAGAGGCTAGGCCAAAGGCAAACTGGTACCTGAGTGTTGACTAAATGTTGAATGGTTATAATTTGAACTATGACATGATTGAAGTATGTTCTAAATTTAATTTGTAGAACTGACACCTGGAGGTAGAGAATGGTAAGAGATACGGCAACAATACAGGAACCCGATCTTTGAAAACCTTAGTTGTGTGAATGAGGAGTGTGAAGTCAGTAGTAAAGGAAATTCTACTAAAGGAGATTCTAAACAAACAAAAGTTGTACTGTGGTAATAGTAGCTCCTGTCTCCTCAATCAGGAAGAGTGAGGCCATCGTCTTTCTTGGGAGACTCCCCCCAGTGTGTTGTACACACATGCATGTTCATGTGAATGAGTAGTTGTGGGGAAATCAGAACAACCATGGAAGGCACTCCTGCTTTCTACCTGTTTTCAGATGGGCTCTCCTGTTGACTGCTGTGCTCTCCAGGCTAGCTGTCCCATGAGCTTCAGGGAATTCTGCTGTCTCTGCCTTCCAGTCTCCCCAAAGGAATACTGATAAAATAGATATTTCCTACGGCCATACCCAGCTTTAACAGGGGTGCTGGGGATTTGAACTTAGATCCTCACAATTGCATAGCATGTACTTTTTCCAATGAGCCATTTCCTCACCTGATTTCTTAATGTTTGAATATCATTCCTTTTGGAATCGTTTGGCTCTGTTATTGCTTTCTTCTTTCTTTGGTACTTTTGTAGGTTCCTTTTATTACTTCTCTGTTAGTTTCATAGGACTGCTATGTTGCAGCAGGACACAATTTCAAAGTACACAAACTGAATGGCTTAGAAATCACAGTTCTAAAGGCCAATCTACAAGTGTCAGTTGGGCAGACAGCTTTCTTTCCTCTTCTAGCTTCTAGAACACAATTTAGTTATCTATAAATCTTCCTGCCAGGGCTGGGCGTCGGTGGTACACGCCTTTAATCCCAGCACTTGGGAGGCAGAGGCAGGCCGATCTCTGAGTTCAGGGCCAGCCTGGTCTGCAGAGCTAGTTCCAGGACAGGCACAAATGTAAATGTTTCTTAGACATGGGTCATCTTTACTATTGGTACAAGGTAGATTATATTACATTTTAATTGCTTATGTTTTGCATTTCAGATTTTGTTAATGGAGCCCTGAATAAATTTAAATCTAGCAGAACACCCTCTATCACACCTCAACAAGATAGAACTGGTAGGTATATATATGTATATATATATATATACACACACACACACACATTTAAATGAAAATATATTTAGTGCTGTGTAAAAACAATTACAATAACTGCCTAATTTAATAGTTAAATCTCAGTGCTAATTTCCTTAAATTAGTATTATACTGTGTATACTGTGTTATATTATTAGTTTCATTGAGTGTGATGAACACAAAATCATAAGGTTAGAATTTATCTGTTGTCATTTTTAAAATAATCCTAATCATGGTTTTCATTTGCTTATAATTTAGAGCGTTATAATTTAGTGGTTCGACCTCACTTTGTGTCAGAATAAGTTACACATTCTATACTCTAATGTTTATACTGGTTTGCTTGCTGGTAAATGCATTTGGTCAATACAGACAACATGATTGTTTTACTTTTCATTGAAGTGAATTGGTTAACATTCACTTAAGAGAAGCAAATGCTGAGTTAATTTTATCTATATATCTTGAATGTAGTTGTAGTTTTCTTCCCTGTATTGATATTCTTTCATCTGTATTATATATGTCCATTTTTCTATTTAGTTTAATTACTTCTGCTTTTTAAGAGCCTTGCCAGGCTCAGTATGGTTGCTTCTGTCCTTTACCCCAGTATTTGGGAGAATAAGGCAGAAGAATCTTATGTTTAAGTCCTGTCTGGGCTACATAGCAAGGAAGCCCCATCTCAAACAATAAAGAAAAAAAAAAAAAAAGAGTCTTGCCTCTTTGTAACTTTGCTATTTTTATTTTAAATAATTTCAGAATGTTAATTAAGTAGTATTGGGTCATGGAAATGTATCTCTCACATTTGTTTGTCAACCTCTAAGTAAAAGTGCTTATAAGAAATTAAAGCTTTTGTGTGTTTCCATCTGTGTGGAGAAGCAAGTTGTTTCTATGTGGTTTTCAGCCCAGGCTTCTGTATCACCATTGAGTCTCACACCAAGTGTTAAGCGTAAACTGCCAGGAGAGTCTTCTCATGCCTTCTCAAGTAAGAAAAGGAAGTCCATCAAACACAACTTGAACTTTGAGCTGTTGCCAAGTCATCTCTTCAGCAGCAATTCTACACCAGTATCAGGTAGCAAAGAGACTCTTTTCATTGGGTTGTAAACACTAACACGAGGGCCTGATCTCAACAAATTAACTACTTAGATTAACATGACCCAGAAGAGCCAGAAATTACATCTTTCCATGTTTCTGTATTTTATAAGATCTACTCTTAAATACTAATTTAATAAAAATAAAATGTTTGTTTTATGGGTAAGTCGAGTAAAGTTACAGTGAATAACCAACCAAGCATTTGGGCTCCTTGGGCTCCTGCCGATGGCATGGGTACTCAGGGTTTATGTGACTGAACTTCCTGGGTCCTGTTTCCTCTGGATCCATATGTGGGGTTCTATTGTTATCTGCAGATGAGCTAAGGTCAAAAGTTTCTCCAAGTAGGTTTACAAAAGCCTTAAAACTCGGAGCAAGGCAACCAGCATATAGTTTTAGATATTTGTACTTGATTAATTTTAGTAACATTCAAAATCCTATTAGCTATTGAATATACCTTAGATTTATTTTATTGTTATAGCACACTCAATATAAGTTGGCTTATGTTAACTTTATCATCAACCACAAGTGAAATGAAACAAAACCTAGGGATGAAACCCAAAATCTAGGGAGTCCCCTATCTCAAATTTGTCACATTTAATCAAAATCTTAGTCCTTTAGATTTTAATAATTGTTTGTTTCAGGCACTGTTGAGTGTTTCATTTTGAGCTCAAGAACTGATTTACAAGTTCTTCCCCAATTTTTTTTTGGTTTTGTTCTACTGAGGGTTCATACTTTGCTTAAATTGAACAGAATAGCAAGTTGTGGTTTTTTTCCAGAAGGAAACCCCTTCCTCACAGGTTCTGCAGGGCTTATTACAGTTGAACAGCAGGAAGGCTGATGACTACATCTGTGTTTGCCTTCAGTGTCCAGAGGTTGGAGACTTAAACTCTTGTTTTTCAAGACAGGGTTTCTCTATGTAGCTTTGGAGCCTGTCCTGGCACTCACTCTGTAGACCATGCTGGCCACAAACTAACATAGGTCTGCCTGCCTGAGTGCTGGGATTAAAGGCGTGAACCACCACTGCCTGGCACGGGGACTAAAACACTTAAAGAAACTTCATATGGTGTGATTTAAAATCCTATCCAGAGTGTAAAACTTCCCAGTGGCCACTGGGAATTGTAGTCTTTCTGTTAGCTGCTTCCCAAAGTGGAAATATTCTTGTGTTAATTTGAACTGAGTTTGAGTTTGCATCACCAGTGAATTTTCTTTAGGAAACATTCAGCAGTAATTCTATTGCTATTAGCTCATCTTTCTTTGGCCTGCTTACTTAATCAGTAATCAAGAAAATATATCTCTTAAGTATGAAAACAGGTTGGTTTCTTCATTTGAGTTTTAAAAAGACCCTCTTTTTTCCTCAGCACCTAAAGACATTAATCTACAGTTCATGTGCTACTATTTGCAATTTTGTGTGTGATTAATTTACATTATTCCGCCTATTCTGACTGTTGCTTGTAACTACATACATTTCCAAGATGACTAAGTCACATTGGATGTGTTATATTGACTTCTAAAATGTTCTTAGTCTAATGCATTATTTTTGTGACTAAACAAACTCACGAATGCCTCTTTGGACACTTTGTAGATTTTTTTTATCAATGATGAATTAATAATTTGTGTTTGTTGGAAGTTTCCTACACAGGACATGAGTCACGTGTATATATACCTCTGTATTTTTTGTATAACAGTTTGTATGATATAGGTAAGGTTGAATAATGAAATTGAACTTTGGATTACTTGGCTAGAACCTGGCAGGCATGAATGGGCTGGGCAGAGCTTTAGATTATTAGTTTGTTTGACAAAAATTATTGGCAAATTATACTTGTAGGTGTTTGGCTATCAATTGTATTCTGAATGCTTACATTCAACATTTGTCAGTAGTTTTTAAAGATTTTTTATTAGCATATATATGCATAATGCGTTTTATTATGTAATTTCTATTCTTATATATCCCTTCCCATTTCTGATAATCCCTGGCAGTAATATTTATGTTCTTCAAGAAACCATATTTCCAGAATCTGAAACTATTTAGTAAATGATAGGTAAATTCTACTCTGTATCCACAGCTTACTCTTCATAAGTGTTTAAAGCGGGACTAATATAAGATTAATAATCTAAACTGTTAAATGGGAGATTAATAGTTTTCTTTTTAGTCAGTTACTGATAACTGAAGCCTCTAACCAGAAATGCTGTCTCTTATTGCAGCTTGGGTAATAGAAATTAGACTTAAATCTACTTGCTGCAGTTTTATACTTTGAAAAAAAAGTAAATGTGTGACATACTACATGTCCTTTTTTTTCTAGTTCACTTTGATACAAGCCCAGAAGGGTCATCTCAGAATTCATTCTCGCCTATCATCATGAGTGGAGACCACTTGATCAGTACAGACCTAAGGCGAAGTAAAAGGATTGCAAACAAAAAAGTTTATAGGTAATCTGCCCTAGACATTGTCTTTTCATTGGTTGACCAATGGTGTGTATGTGTGCTGTCATTTCACCAAAAATTACAGTTTAATCATATTTTTTAAGTCCCACAGTCTTTATGTTCTTATTAACTATAGGCCATTCATATGTCATCAGAAAGAAGAAAAAAAAAAGAATTAAATTGAATTCACTGTCCTTGATAAAAATCCTTGTCTAAGTTGATTATGTAATTTTAAATTTGTTAGCTTTGCAAATAATATGTTCTACTGACTGGTTTATAAGTGACTAAGGATGATAAGTCATTTTCATATGCAGAAAGGCATATATATAAAGTATGTTAAAGTTTAAGTCACTTTTAAATTTTTATTTAGTTATTAACAATATGATTTTTGGACTTAGTCAGACTTTCATCTTACGAGAATCTCCAATGTCTATGGCAGAAACTGACATTTTACATTGCTTTCTTCAGGGTAGAATCAGGGAAAGCAGGCTGCTTCTCCCCTAAACTCAGTCATAAAGGAAAGGTCCGAAGATCTCTTCGTCTGAAGTTTAGTCTGGGGAAAAACAGAGATTCAGTAAGTTTCTTGTTCTTGTGACAGAATACCCAACAAACTGCACAATGGAGAAGTTCTTTTGGTCAGTGTTTTTGAAGTTTCAGTTCATCCTGGTGGGGAGAATGTGGCATGTAGAGAGAGACAAAAGAATGCAGAAAGGGGCCAGGGAACGACCCAGATCTAAGCACATATCACTCCCACCAGCTCCCATTTTTCACTTCATCCAATAATGATTATGAATCATTAACGGATGCATTCATTCACTGGACCAGAGCCCTCTTCTAATAATCTCTGGGAACACCATCACAGATCCCCTAGACGTGTGCCTATCTAATGTTATAGGTGTTTCTTATTCAAGTGCACAATTAAGAACATCATAGTGGAACACCCTCTCACATTTGCCTTCCTTCCAAAATAGTGAACTAAGCACTACTACTCGATTTTATCACCATTTTAATCTCAGAGCTCCACTAAAGCTGCTTTCATCAAAGTGTGGGTTGCACTCTAATCTCAGAACTTAGCAGGCAGAGGCAGGTGGTGGATCTCTGCAAGTTCATGGCCAGCCTGGTCTACAGAGTGAATTCTGAGACAGTCAGCAATGCATAGTGAGACTATCTCCAAAAAACAAGCCTGGTGGTGGTGGCACTCAACTTTAATCCCTGCACTTAGGAGGCAGAGGAGGTGGATCTCTGTGGGTTTGAGGACAGCCTGGTCTACAAAGTGAGTCCCAGGCCAGGCTCCAAAGCTACACAAAAACCCCCTCTTGAAAAACCAAAACACAATAAAACAGGGTTGCCTGTGAATTCAGTATTGTCAATCAAGCAGTCAGGAATTGCCAATAGGCCTTACTCTTCTCTCCTATGGGCCTGTAGGCAGCATTTGGCTCTAGATCCCTTTTGCTTACTTCCTATTACTTTTCAAATTCCTTTCTAACAATATCCAATACTGTTTGTATAAGACATCCACATTAAGTTCTCTGGGTCACAGTACTCTCCTAAACAAACTGAATATATCTCTTTCCTTGCAGGGTTTTTGTTGTTTGGTTTGGTTTGGATTTGGGAAGTGTCTTTTATCGTGCTTAAACATGAATTGTGGCATGGAACTCTGATCCTTGGAAGTCTGTTTAGGCGAAACTATCCTACACGCTCGTCTTTGCTCTGCTGTCCCTACAACCAAGTCCTCTCCCTATTATCACCCATTTCTGTTAGGCAGCTTGCTCTTCCAACCGCTCAGGCTAGAGCAGTTCCTGGTTCCACATTCTCATGTGCCACATCTTGTCTGTTAGAGAAACCTGCTTAATTTCTGCTCTTAGCTATCTTTAAATTTTCTTTTCTCCTGGATAACTGCAGTTAGTCTACAGTAGGTTTCTACCCTTTCTGCGATATTTGCCCCTGAAAAACAGTTCTTTAAAAAAACAAGTCATATTTCTCTTCTGTTCTGAACCCTCCAATAGTACTTTGTGTTCTGATTGAAACCCCAGCCTCCTACATCAAGATGCAGGTTCCACATGATCTGTGCCCAGAACACATCTCGAGCTCTGCTCCTGGCCTTCCGCCTCTTCACTCTGCTGCTTTCATCCTGACTCCTCCAGCTGTAGAGGCTGCACTGGAAACTTCTTCCTAAAAAGCAGTTGTCCTAAAGGTTTTTATTGCTCTTGCCCTTTACCTTCTCATCACCCTGTGTGAAATTACTCCCATCATTACCAGCAATGTCCTCTCACTATTTTACTGTTATCCATATCACTTTTGACTTTGGATTATATTGATGTGATGTAATGTATTGTTTTGATCTAAATCTCATCTTCGAATGTAAATACTGTGAGGGCAGAATTTTTACCACCCTACTCACCAACACACACACACATACACACACAACACATTTGTCAACAGGCCCCAGCACAGAAGCAATACTAGAATTTATACTTTTATAATAATATGTTATGCTGTCTTTATTTTACTTCACAAAATATCACCTAATGTTTACACATTTCACCAACAGGCAAGAGTTTCTGTGTTTCTAATGAAGTTATCCTTCACTTATATAAGCTTTTTTTAAGTTAGTTGCTAATTTTAATACTTAATTGGTTTTAATATTTTTAACTGGATTTGCTTAACTAAACCATTTTCAAATTTTCTTTTCTGTACAGAATGGATGTTCTGTCATCAATAGATATGAGAATGTTGGTCGTCGACTAGCAAATCAACAAAATCTAAAAAATAGGATTGAATCTGTAAAAACAGGTCTGCTTTTTAGCCCAGATATTGATGAAAGATTGCTAAAGAAAGGTACATTTACACAATACTGTAGAATTTTTCCCAAAATTTTAGTAGCAGTTTAAGATAAAATATTACTTTGTGTTCTAGAAGTTTAAAGTTCATTTGAATGGTGAGAATATTTGACTTGGCAATGTTGCTTTCTGTCAACAATTGGGAGATTCTTGTAAATGTCACATTAGACATGTCTATTTTAAATTGTAACAACTTCAGTTCTTTGGAAATAATGCTCAGTATCTTTACTTAATGTGTGTTTGGATAATGTTTCAAAACTAGGTAAGACATAAAGTATTAAAAGCATCAACTGGTTTATTTTAGATGCAGAAAAGATGAGCAAATCTGAGGAACACTTACTAACTCCAGATGGACTAGATGAAGCAGGTTATAGGATGTCTTGGACAGAACCCAATAATTCAAGTTTTCAAGACATGGGTGCAAATGGAGCTTCTCCAGTCATGAGTAATCTTGAGGTGAAGCACTTTTCTTTGGAGTCTGATGTTACTGTTGAAAACTCACTGGCTGTGTCATGTGAGCTCAGACCATCCACCTTCCACAGCCAACCTGACAGCAATGTGCTTGGGACTTCCCTCAGTGGGGATGAAAGTAACATGACCTCTGAGACCTTGCTGAAGATTCAGAAAGCGTTTTCTGAATCAGGGAGTGGTCTTCATACCCTGATAAGTCATGGACAGTCATCAGTAGCAAATGTAGGGGAAGAAAGTGAAGCCAGTGATGTGACTGTGAGAGAATCAAAGGAAAATGATGGCAACTACACTGGAGAAGATGAGAACTGTGTTCCAGGAAGAGATTTCTCATTGTGTCAAAGTCCAGAATTTGGTAGAGAAGTAAGGATGAAGGTAGAATGTGAAGAAGACATCCATTCAGAAGTTGCAAAAGCTGACTTAATCCAGGAAGAGTTCCCTAGTGAGGAGCAAATGAAGGGACCACAGTCCCCAAGGAACCAACTAAATACTCAGTCAGCGGGGAAGGAGAGTGTTGCGGAGGCGAACTCCATGGCATGTGAAGCCCCTAGGGAAGATGAGGCTCACTCTTCTTTAGAGCAGAGTACATGCAGTGTGGTAGTCCTTCCAAAACCTCAGCCCCAGAGGCTTGCTAAGCAGCGGTCACTTGTGGGAAAACTCGATAATACAGTTCCTGGATGTTTACAAATGACTGAGCATGGAAAGGTTTCTGATCACATACAGTGGTTTAATAAGCTTTCTCTAAATGAACCAAACAGAACAAAAGTGAAGTCACCTCTGAAATTTCAACGTACTCCTGTCCGTCAGTCTGTCAGAAGAATTAATTCTTTGTTGGAGTATGGCAGGCAGCCTGTGAGGCAAAAGAAGTTGGCAATCCTTGGTGATGCAGCTTCTCCTCTGGTAAAATCAGTGAGCTGTGATGGTGCTCTTCCCTCTTGTGTAGAAAGTACATCAAAAGATTCCTCTGTTTCATGTACTGAATTAGGTACTGAAGTACGGAAGTCCATGTTCCATAAGTCAAGTGATGCAATTTCAAAATCAAGCATTGAATTAACTTCCAAATCTTTCTCAAAAGTGAAGAGACATCCAGATCCTGTGCGTGCTTCTCTTGGAACTACTAGACTTTGTAAACAGGAGAGCAAATCTGATGGTCAAATTAAGTTTCCCTTGGATGATCTCACTAATCATGATAGATTAAAATTTGTTGTAAATAATAATACAGCCTTTTCTCATGAAATAAAAAACAGAGTTCTTAGGAAACCATCAGATAAAGAAAGGGTCTGGTACAAAGGTTCTCCTAAAAATCCTATTGGAAAGACTCAACTACTACCAACGAGTAAACCTGTAGACTTGTAACGGACAAATGCAGTGTTTTTCCTCAGTGTAAATAAAATTAGCAATTTGTGGGATGACTTGCAGGATAATTGAATGCTTGTGTGTAACTAGGGATGCTTGTTAAGTGGGTTTTCTCTCAAGCAGTCTTGTTGCTGGAACGATTTGGTTTTCATACTTGCACATAGTGCTACTTCATTTTTATTACTAAAGCATTTAAACTTTTCTTTTTTTCTTTCCCCCCCCCTTTTTTTGTTATTGTTGTTTGTTTGTTTGTTTTGTTTTTTGAGACAGGGTTACTCTGTATTGCTTTGAAGCCTGTCCTGGAACTTGCTGTTGTCCAGGCTGGCCTCAAACTCCCAGAGATCCACCTGCCTACACCTCAAGTGCAGGGATTAAGGCGCCACCACTGCCGGGCAAAACATTTAAACTCTAAACTCTATAAATTTTAAAGAAATTGTTGGCTAGATTATTTAAAGGGGGGGCATGATTTTCGTTTTGCATGCTTGGTAGGAAGTTGTGTTTCTTTTTGGTTATTCCTCCAAGTCAGAAACATTGTAAATTATAATCTACTACATAAAGGGAATTGGTAGTCCCTGCAAATCTTATGCCCTGAATTATACTCATGTTTGTTGTCTTGACCTAAATCCTAAAAGTTGATTTGCCTCAGCGGTATGCTAATACTTATTCTTGCATGGAGCAGAGGAATTTGGTTTGTATCTCCTGAAGGTATATGCAAGGTTTCATTTGAATTTTGAATTAAGGACAATGATTAAATCACAATGATGACTAAGCTTCATTCATACATTATGGTGTTGAAGTAATTAATTTTAAGCCATACTTCATTTTGAAGGTAATTTTGGTCTATTTTGTCCAATATGAAAATGAAATTTTTAAGGAGGAATAATTAAACTTGAAAATTTTAATCGATATTTTTTTCTATGAAGATGGTTGATTTTAGAATTTGAATTGTTAATGAGCCTCTGTACATTAGGTAAATATCTGATAGTTTTATCCTGTGTTTAAATGTTATTTATTTAGCATACACATTAAAAATAACTTCTGGAAAATGTCTTGCCTTAGAGTGTTATGTTTTAAATGCAAAGCATTGCACATACTGTTAGTGTGTGTTTTGTATGTGAGGAACTTCAAGTCCTTAAGTTTACCTGAAACTTCTACTTGAAGATGTGTGGCTATTTTTTAGACTTATATGTGTGAATGTTTTGGCTGCATCTATGTATGTAAATCCATGTGAGTATAACATATGTTTTCCTGTTCTCCTCTGAGATAAGAGGGGGTTGGATACCCTGGGTGGTTGTGAGCTACTATGTAGGTTCTGGGTGCTGAACCCAGGTTCTCTATGCTGAGAAACTACAAGAGAACCCTGTGCTACAAGTACTCTTAACCATAGACCATCTCTTCTGCCCCAAATTTCTGTTTTATTTCAAGATTATTTTCTATGTTCCTTATCCTTTCCCAGAAGTAGTATATTGTTTACATTAAAACTAAAACTCTGTAGTCCTAAACTACATACATATTAGGTACAGCTAGAATAGGTTGTGGATCACATACCTAAAATTGATGAGAAGAGAAATATCTCAAGATTTTAGAATATTTACATTTGCTTTACTGATTGAACATCCCTGAAACAGAAGGCTGAAATACTTCAAAATTTGAAACATTTTGAACTAAACTCTCAACTTACACTAAGAATTCCTCCATGATGATAATGTCTAGTTCCTGAGCAGGGCATGGTGGAGTATCACTGTAACCTGGAACTCTTATCTCAATTTTTAGAATGAAAAAAAAAATCTACAAAATCCTCAACATTTAAGATGCCGGATCATTTCATATTTGGGAGTTGGTTGAGAAAATTTTAAAATGTGGCCTCATATTTGTATTTTTAAATGGTAGTGATTTCATGGGCTATATGATCAAACAGTGTACATTTGTGAAAAATGATGTGTTCAGTAACTTGAATTACCATTTTTTAAGTATAAAAATCTAATGTTTTTTAAGAAGTGGATTTTAATATACAAAGGACTAAAGTTAGTAGGTTTCTGGGTAACATTCTATGGTCACTAAGAACTTAATGTGTGGTTTTGAGAATCAAGTATAGATTATATGTGATTCATGGTTTATTTTAAAAATAACAAATTTTAGTCAAGTGTCTAGTGACAGACTCTCAGGAGGCTTAGGTAAGTTAATATTGACACCAGTCTTGGTAAGATTCTTGTACTCCAGCTTGAATGTGAGATGTCACCCACAGGCTCTTGCTGAAAGCTTGGTTCCTATCTAGTGACAACTATTCTGGGATTGTAGAGCCTTCCAGGGTCCCTGGGAGTGTGCCTTTGAGCTCTGACCTGCCTGTTCCACTGAGTCATGTGTCCCCACCATCATGTTCTGATTCACTAGGTTAAACTAGAGCGAGCCAACGATCACTGAAATCTCAAAAGTTGTGTGCCAATATAAATGTCTTTCCTTTACCTCAACAGTTTGTCAGCAGAATAAAGGCTTACATACCCTGCCTCCAAAATACAGTGCAATGTGAATGAATCATAGACATTTTTGGTATGTTTCAGGCAGCTACCCAGCCAGTAAAACATAGTAACCCATTTTTCCAATCTTAAATTGGATATACCAATTTAAGAATAAACGGTATTCATTAGCAATAAATATTTTGTACCATCCTAGACTTTGAGCCTGGAGCCAGCAGACTACTTGTCATGTTGATTGAACCAAAATGCATCCAGGAAAGAAAACAACAAAAAAGTTGGGAAAGATGCCTGGCTTTACACAGAAAGCCCTCTCACAAGTCTCCCTACCTCCTTTCATTGCATTAAAATGCTAATGGGTTTACTGCTTGCTCCAAGCTGTCACCACAAAACCCTTAGGACTTGGATTTTTCTTAGTCACCCCTGCTATTGGCATATTCAGGACAAATGCACGTTTTGTTTTATAGATGGGTCTTTTAAGTTTCCTGTGTGAATGTAGGTCATGGAACTATGTTGGACTGTGAAAGGGGAAAGCTTAAATGAGGAGATAAGGAAAAGATACTAGAAAAGAGGTGTATGAAAATGCCAGCAGGAAGCCTGTTTGTATTCTCATTTAAAACTCTTCCTAGCAGAATTAAAGGTGTGCTGTTTAGTGGTGGTCTACATTTACGTAGCTGCTTGAGACTGATAATCGTAGGGTTGATGCAGAAAGGGGACATTCGAGAAATGTCAACAGTCACAAGACACGAATGCCTGGGCTGGAGTACAGGCTTCAGTCCAGAGATGCAAATGTCTGGAAAGCCTTTCAGGAACTCTGGGAAGGCTTCTTCCACCTGCTGGGGGCGGGGCCTGGGTGGAGCTAGGATGCTGAGGGAGATGACGCAGGAGCTATCCAGCTCGTCAGTTCCCTGCTTTGGCCCAGATTGCAACTAGCTCGCCCGTGGCCCCACGGTAAATTTTGCAGTGAAGCGGCCGGGCTAGACAACCCGCAGAACGTGGATTCATAAGGTAGGTGAGGATGGCCTCCAGAAACCCTTGAACTTGAGGCTGGGGTTAGACAAAGGATGGATGTGGAGGTTACAAGGGATGGCTATAAATAAGGGTGGGAGAGTGCAGTTGGCTGGCCAGTAAAAAAAAAAAAAAAAACATTGGGAGTTCATGGGGAAAGATGGAGATAATGGATCCTGGTGCCTGCATCCGGCCCTTTCATCATGGCTGTAGATTGTGCCGCTAAAACAGCCATCCACTGCTCTTTGAGAAGCAAGGCGAGGAAATACCTTTAGCTGGAGAAAAAGGACATTAGATGAGATGAATATTTCAATTTTAGGAGCGATGCTTGGCTTTACCCCACTGATTCCTAGCCCTGTGAATGCTCAAAGGGGTTTATCTGGCTGTTGCCTGCAGCACCCACTGGAAACAAGCAGCTTCCAGAGACGCTGTGTGAATACTATTTCCTTGCTCTGCAGGCATATCCACAGACACCCCTATGTAGAGCAGGTTGACAGCCCACATAATCCCCCCCACCACCACCATTTCACTCTCTTCCTTCTCTCTGCCGCCTCCACAGATTTCAACTTTTAGAACAGTGAACCCATGATACCAACGTTGGAATACAAGTGCAGGGGCCTCACTGTGCACCTGGCTTTGCTCCATGCTCCCATACATAATTTTGATCTTTATCTTATCAACTCTATAAGACAGATTTTTTTCCTATTCTTCTGCAGAAGAGGCTGAGGTGCTTGCCCAGGATCACCTAGGTGCGCAGTGAAGCAAGTGTCTTTCATGTTGCCTCTCACGTGGTGGGGCAGGACCTGAGCTCAAAGCACTTCTCAGGATCTTATTGCATTGCTTATCTGCTAAGTTAAAACACCCTCTGCCAACAGCCAACATTATGGCATTCTATGGGTTGTTATTGTTATTATTATTACTGTTTGAATATTCCTAACTCCTTTTCTTTACTCTTTTCTTCCTTTAAATTGGGAAAACTCAAAATACCACCCTCCTTTTCTCAAAACTGAAAGTGCTTAGATTACAAGGAAAACAGACCATAGGTGTGAGAACCATCCTCCCAGCTTAGTATCCTCAGGTAGCAAGTTAGAGGGGCTTGCTTACCCTAGGCTCTTTTGTCTCTTTACTCCCCCTTTCCCACAGTGGTTTCCTCCCTGGCTTGGACACTTGACACACAGCAAACCTCTAGGAATTTTTCATTGCAGTTCCCTTTCAGGGTGGTCCTTGAGCCTCAAGTTGTGATTCATAACTATATCACCACAGTAGTGTTATTACAGTTGCCAATTTGGGCCAAGTTATAAACTTGGTCCTTTCTTCTACAGATTAAAAATGGCCTCAAGGATGATCTCTGTCCTGCTATCTGGCCTTTTGATTTGGTTGATGTTCAACTGGAATCCAGCATCTGCTTATAGTCCACGAACCCCTGATCGAGTCCCTGAAACAGACATCCAGAGGCTGCTCCATGGCGTTATGGAGCAGCTGGGCATTGCCAGGCCACGTGTGGAATACCCAGCTCACCAGGCCATGAATCTTGTTGGGCCACAGAGTATTGAAGGTATGCAATGTTCCTAACTGACAATATTTCCATTGAATTTCTGAGACTACCGTCTCCAAATACCAGGGTTTTTTGCTTTGTTGGAAGTCTCGTGTAGACCAGGCTCACCTTGAATTATCTATGAAGCCAAGGATAACCTTGAGCTCCTGATCCTCTTGCCTTTACCTCCCAGGTGCTAAGATTGGGGAGGAGGAGGGTGCAACTTTCTGAGAAGCTGAGAAGGAAAGCTGGGGCTGGGGGGCCACATATTAGGCAAGCACTCTGTGGGACTATTTTCCCTTCATGTTCTACATGGCGGTACATACATAACATATCCACAAGGACAGCAAGACTACCTCTTGTGAATTTTTTCAGTTTTCCAAGTTCCTGATATAAAAGGAGTTCTTAATTGGTCTAAATAATAAAAACCCGGAGTCAGATATAGAGGGAAATGCTGAGAGATCAGAGAGAAGAAGGAGCAAGCCACAGCACACCTTACCTCCTAGTGTCTCAGTGGACAAGAAAGCGAGTTCCTGTTTCTTTCCATTCATATCCTCTCTCATTTCCTGACTGTCCTAGCTATTTCCTTCCTGTTTCCACTCAGCCATCTCACTTTTAGTCTGTTTGTACAGACCTCCAAACCTCTGTGGTTAGCTAGTGGCATGCTCCATTCTCTGATCTTTAGACAGGCTTTATTTATATAGGCAAAACACCACCACATCCTGATAAGGTTCTTATAAAACTTTAAGTTGAAATCTGTATTTCATTTGCTTGCCGTTTAATTATATGTCAAAAGAGTCTTCCTCTTGGGAGTGGGCAATGTATTTCTTAGGAAAATATGAATTCTCTCTTTGGATTTTCTCATAAGCCACATCTGGCAAGTGCTGTCTCTGATGGATAGTTAACACATAATTTTCCCTGATGTGATTGGCTTACAACACTGTCTGCTCCAGAGGTCTGTGTTAATATATGATTCCCATTTCTGTCTTGTTGCCCATCACTTTGAGCCATCAGAATCGCTATGTATTTTGGT